GAACGCAAATTACTCTGTAGGTCAACTGATAACAACTACCTTCAAAAAAGGCTTTCTCAGAGAACTAACTAAAATCATAATACAGACCAGAAACTTAATTTAAGAAAAGTTCTAGATTTGTTTGCTGACTTTGATAGAGGACAGCTCAGGTAGAAGAGAACCTTTGTTGAGGATAAAACTTCCTTTGCATCTTTTGTATTTAAAAAAAAAAAATACTGATATCTGTTTCTGTATTTATTAAAGTGAATAAGCATGCTTGATGTATATTTACACTACATATATATAAAAGAATTTACTGCTGATAATACAGAATGAATATCTAAGTATATAGGATAACATATTTATCATTAGTTTCCTGTTTGATGTATGACTGCTAACAGGAACATACAATTCTAATTATAACTTTTGAATTTGACTTATAAATTGGGCATATTTAAATTATTTTCCATTTTGGAGTAAGGATATTTTGGAATTACAATGTTCTGTTTTATAAAATATTAGCCAGAGGTCTAAGATTGCTCACATCACTATAGGGGAACATAAAATAAAAACAAAGAGAACGACTGGGTCTTTTTAGTATGTAGATTTGATAAAGTTATACCTTAATTGCTGCTATCATAGCAGTCAAGAAGCATTTATTGTTGATTATCTTAAAATTACTTAAGAAATTTCCATTAATATCACAGTTTAAAAGCTTTTCTGAAAGAAACAGTTTAGCTTCTTTTGTGAACATGGTGAATATTTTATATTTTGTTATAGAAAACAGCATGCACATTTTCAACAAGCAAGTGTCCTTTCCATAACACCTCAAATTACATATTCAATTTAAAATGTAAGCATGACATTCAGGCTTCATTTGCTCTTGGTGTCAATCTAAAAAAATATAAATTGACGTAGACAGAAAATTCTAATCTGATGCCCTAGGGGCAGATCCAATAAGACACTTAGGCATCTAAGTTTGGTTGTTGAAGCAACTAACTTTTAGGTGTTTGTCCCCCAGAAGGGAATCTTGGGCTGAAGTGAGCTGGGTCTTACATTCCTATGTAGTGTATAGGGTAGGTATTGCTAGGCAGGTACCAGTTATGGGGTGTTATGAGTGGCCACTGCCTCCAACATCACTTAACATTACCCAACCCATGTACTAGAAACTGGGATCTACGGAAGTTAACACGTAGAACTATATTCTATCTAATAAATTCCATCTTGCAGACTGTGTATGGTCGTTCTGGGTCAAAGGGACGATGCCAAAATGTACGTCACTCTTTTACACAAAAGACAATGATTAAGGATACTGCCCAGGAAATGTGTGGCAAGTTAAATTCTCTCTTCTGCCCTCAAAGATCCACACCTCCAAGGGTGTAGGGGTGTGTAGGGGTGTGCATTTAACGTTCAAGCCATTAATTATTTTAAAATCTTTTTTTGAAACACTTCAGACCTATAAGCAAGAAGAGGATCAGGATTCAACAGTCTAGTCCTCATGTTCTCCACTAGGTCGACCTTCCTATGCTATTTTCAGATTTAACAGACAACATCACCGAATAGCTGAATGAGTATTTAGCCCCCTAGAAAACATAACAAAAACACTTCTTGCAAGTTCAAACTAACAGATCTTCAGGACCTCAAATAACAGCTGAGCAGGATAAGTGGTAAAATATACCTCAGCAAAAATTGAGTGACTATCTAGAGCAAACTCTTTGGGTCACAGAAGCTTTACCGTACCTGAAAAGACTCCAAAACTTAATTTTAAGGTAAAAAAAGGAATGAATTTTTTCCAGTATGACTCCTGTACCTCATGTAAATCCTTTTTGTGAAATCTTACCTAATAGAACCAAATATGCATCATCAAATAGCCCATAATTACAGGTTACAAAATTAGATACTTGGTCTTGATGATGGCTGTCAAGTACTTGAAGTAACACTGCGTAGCATACTTGAATCTACCTCCTTCTTCCCAGGATCATATGCAGTTCTACTGCCCACTCTCAGTACATGTGGAAAATCTGCTATCCTCTAATAAGGAAAAAATTGTGGAAATCTAGAGTAATTGAATTCCTTGGTTATACAGATAATGACATCTTGAATTATGTATGAACTGCGGGGCAGAAGTGCTCTGTAGTGTCTCCTGCAAAACCCCTAGTCCAGACCAGGAACCTGGCTAGACCACAACATAACGCTTAGAAAATCCAAGTTTTCTTCTCATGGAAACCAAGGGCTAAGTAGAACTTCAGATGTGTACACCAGGTCTTGCCTCAACATCTCATCCTAGGAGGTAGACAAGTTGCACATCTGGAGTCAGAAGCTGGAAGATGTTCCCAACACCCACAGTTTACACATGGTCTTTGAGAACAGAAACCCTTCCTGTTTTCCTGCAACAAATATTGACTCAGAGCCCGATGTAAACTTCCCATTTTTAATAGGCAGTGAATCAGATCCATAGAACCTAATTTGACTCTTGGTGGGATAATGACAACCTGACACCACTGGAAGCTGGGGTCAGTCAAGGCTGTGCACACCAGAACCTCATAACAGATTTTGAACAGTCTAAAGGCAAATGAAAAAAAAAAATCAAACCCCAAACCCAACCCACCCTGAAACAAAACTGCACAAGAGATTTACTGGTAGTTTAAACCACACCAGCAATATAAACTCATTTTTGCCACTAATAAAAATTCTGTCTGACTTTTGAATAGAAATGCATATGATCTTCAAAAGACTGAATATCCTCAAAGCGTTATTCTGTTTCTAAGTGCCCATGAACTGTTTCTAAATATATTACACTATGTTGTGTGGATTGGGTAAATTATTTCTTTTTTTTTTTTCACGTTTATAACACATACATGGCATTTTCTCTCCTGTATCCAGCTCATAGATCAGGTCAGACAAATAATTCACCTCTCTGACATATGCTAAGTCTTTTCAAAATTTGGTATGTTGATTAGTTGTCTCTGTCATAACTTCCCTTTAAATTCTCTTTTGACTGGAAATAGATTTTCCCCAAGCAGAGATCACTTCAGAGATTTTTGGTCTTTTCAATTTTTACTAGAAGTGAGGACAAAGAGAAAAGACAGGGTCTTCTTTACCAGGCAGGATTTCCCAGGTTCAATTAAGTGTACTTTTAGTTGCAGCTGGCAGCTTTCTGCCAACGCAAGTGGCTTAGAAGAAAACACAATAATGTTTAAATGCTTCATAATGCCTATTCAGAACTTCTGTTTCCTCTCTCTTTTTCATTTGAATCAGATGATGAAGGTGATGGGCTTCCAACAATAGGAGTACTACCACCTACATATGTTAGCATTTGTAAATATGATTGCATTCTGACTGATTTGCAGTGGTAAGCAAGAGTTTGGAAATCTGATTTCAAGCTCACAGTGGCAAAAGTTGATAATTACTATCTTCACAAATATCTATAAGTTAAATCACTTGTTTTAATATAGATTAGATTAGTATTAAAGTTACAAGATTGGTATGAGAGACATGATAAATGCAGTCATGACAGAAAACAATTTTTAATTTAGTATACCCTATCAATCTAGATAGCCCATGAATATTTACCATTAATTCAGTAGGCTGGAACAGAGAGGGAAAAAAAGAATAAAAAAAGAAGGTTTGACCTAAACAAGGGCTGAGGAAAAAAAGAATTCTCAGCAGTTTTACTGAGAACGGATCTTGCAAAAACGTGAACTGGAAACAAATTGGAAAATACATTTGGGGTACCATTATAAACAAAACCTGTGAAAAACCCAAACGACATGCAAAAATAATGGCAATTCTTAATATGTACTTCTCTTTGCAGGATTAACCAGTCAGATCACACTTGAATGAGTAACTTCAAAGGCTGAAATAAAATCACTTATGGAAATTCAAAACAAACCTATTTGATCACATCATACTTCACAGCAGGGATACAATTTGCCTGGGCTGAGTGAGGGCATAGTATAAGCTAAAACAGGTTGTGTGTGCAGTGAACCAAACTAAATGGTTTATATAAAAGAAATGTTGTTTCCATTAATTTTTCTGGTAATCCTATTAAAAATGCCACCTGTCCAGAATAAAATTGTCCAGATTTTAATTCTTTTTCGTATCTCAGCGTTCAAACACAAGACGGAGAAGGTATCATCTTAGAGCTATTAAAATATGGCACAAAGTATCTTATTCTGAAATCTTCATTACTGCAGCAGTTTCTCGAGCTCTGTTTCAATGACTGGCTATTATACCTTTTACTTTTTCTCTCATTGTGCTCAAAGAACTGATTTTTCTGATAAGCCCAAAAAATATTTTTTCAAAGGATATGTCATTTTTCTAACCTCTCTTTAACCAAAATGTTTCTAGTCTATAGTATTTAAAATTCACATATATTAAGTAAATATAACATGAAATGAACCTTTTAAAATTCCATCACTGCTCCTCCAAAATCCCCTATAACAACCCTGAACAGGAACTTAACTTTGAATACCAACACAGATGAAATGGTGTCATAATCAGCATAAGTGCATGTGGACTATTCACCTAGATCAAACACTTTGGTCATATACTCAATTAAATTTAAATCCCATTATATAATGTGTACCAGCCTCATTTTATGCAATTCCCTAATTTAATGGCTTAGTATTAGCCTTTTTCCTTTTTGCACACATGGACTAATTTTCACGGTGCTCAGTCCCTTTGGGAAGTAGGTCATTAAAGTCAACTGGATGGAGACAGAAACTTAATACCAAAACACTGTGGTAGAAGGGTCAGAGACACAATAGTAATGTAAAACTGGTTTTCACTCGTTCTTCTTTGTAATATTTATGAAATTCCACCCTCATATAAATATTGTTCATTAATCTCAAAGACTACAAAGTATAAGAACCAAGAAAGCTATCATCCTGTTATAATTTAATTTGAGTCAAAATAATAAAAATCCAAATTAGAAAAATAAAAATCACAAGTACAATACTATTTAGCTGTTGAGATGCTTGTTTTACACTGAAACAGTAGAATCATAATATTCATATTACCTTTCTCAATGTGTATTCTTTTCGTCTCATGTCCCACGTCATGACCAGCCAGATCACCCTCCTTAGGTCCAGGCAGGACATTAGGTGACAAACCCATCAGCATTTGGTTCATAGATATCCCGTTCTGATGGATAGCTGCTAGACACAAGCGCAGGCAGAAAGAAAAGCAGCCGTCATATTAACAATACACTTTTGTACTTATTTAATATATGCTTCCTCCTAATTATACAAGAATTCTAACAATCATGAAGTTACTTAATTAGTGCTATCAGTATCCACAGAGGGGGAGAGTTTCTTCCTGTTACTTCTGGTTTAAAACAATTCATTTGAAAAAGAAGTGTTCAGTATCTTTGGACAAAGTTGGATATTTGCAACTATGTTCTTGTTTATTTAACAGAACTAAAAAGAGAAATGTAGCAAACAAGAAAAGCATAAATGGTTCTACATGAGATACTGATTTATTTTCTTTTTAGCTAGCTGTATAAAAACTCTTGTATAATAGCATTCCCAACAAGCAGTCTCTAAATTCCTTAAATTAAGCATTGTGGCCTTTCAGGTGATAAACACTGTTTTTTTCAAAATATACTGTGCTACAGCAGAATTTTTTATTTGCTCATCAGATAGCTTGAAAAGCTCTTTCTAGCAGTTCTCAAACAGACCTTCAGGCACATGGAGAATGAGGAGGTGATTGGTGACAGCCAACATGGCTTCACCAAGGGCAAGTCATGCCTGATGACGAACATGGTGGCCTTCTACGACGGGGTCATGACCTTGGTGGACAGAGGATGGGCAACTGATGTCATCTACCTGGAATTGTGCAAAGCCATTGATACTGTCCCACATGACATCCTTGTCTCTAAATTAGAGAGACATGGGTTTGACAGATGGACCTCTCAATGGATACAGAACTGGCTGGATGGTCGCACTCAGAGAGTGGTGGTCAGTGGCTCAGTGTCTGAGTGGAGACCAGTAACAAGCGGTGTTCCTCAGGGGTCGGTGTAGGGACTGTACTGTTAACATCTTCGTTAGTGACTTGTATGATGGCATCGAGTGCACCCTCAGCAAGTCCGCCGACAACACCAAGCTGTGTGGTGCAGTCGATATACTGGATGGAAGGGATGCCCATCCAGAGGGACCTTGACAGGCTGCAGAGGTGGGCCACTGACAAACCTCAAGTTCAACAAGGCCAAGTGCAAGGTCCTACACATGGGTAAGGGCCATCTAAAACAGAAGTACAGGCTGGGGGGAGAGGGGATGGAAACCAGCCCTGAGGAGAAGAACTTGGGGGTACTGCTGGATGAAAAGCTGAACATGAGCCGTCACTGGCAGTCCAGAAAGCCAACCTTATCCTGGGCTGTATCAGGAGAAGTGTGGCCAGAAGATCAAGGGAGGGGATTCTCCCCCTCTACTCTGTTCCTGTGAGACCCCACCTAGAGTACTGCATCCAACTGTGGAACCCTCAAAAGAAGGATACAGAACGGTTGGAGCGAGTCCAGAGGAGGTCACGAAGATGCTCAGAGGGCTGGAGCACCTCTCCTATGATGAAAGGCTCAGAGAGTTGGTCTTGTTCAGCCTGGAGAAGAGAAGGCTCTGGGGAGACCTCATTGCAGTCTTCCAGTACCTGAAGGGGCCTACAAGGAAGCTGGGGAGGGACTTTTTACAAGGTCATGTAGTGACAGGAGAAGGGGTAATGGGTTTAAATTCAAAGTGGGGAGGTTTAGATTAGATATGAAGAAGAAATTCTTCACGGGGAGGGTGGTGAAGCACTGAGACAGGTTGCCCAGAGAAGTTGTGGATGCCCCATCCCTGGAAGTGTTCAAGGCCAGGCTGGATGAGGCTTTGAGCAACCTGGTCTAGTGGAAGGTGTCCCAGCCCATGGCAGGGGGGGTGGAACTAGATGATCTTTAAGGTCCCTTCCAACCCAAACCATTCTATGATTCATGAATCTCAAACATATCTCAGAAACCCATACGAGCTAGTTTATATCCCTATGCTTTTAACCTGAAAAACTGTATTTGCAAGAGTTTTATGTCATTTTCAGTAAAGTATTTTTTCATATATAACCCGTATTTCTGTAGTAGTCATCTTACTCTTGCTGGCACCTCAAAAGCAGATGCACTTAAGGTGGGATGCTAGCAAATCAGAAGAGAGAAGAGTTATTTATAAATAAATGAGCTACTGAAGTGATCCAGTATTTAAGGGACAATGTTATGTGCACATTGGAAGAAAAAATGTGCAAAGGTCCCATTCCTCTCTGCTGGTAAGTAAGCAGAGTAAGCTGAATAGTACCATTTATTTTAAAATTAAGGTGACATTCCTTAGTAAAAGCGATGAGTATCTCTCAATTGAATTTACTTCTATTTTTATTTAAAGAACAATGGAAAAGGCTTTCAATGGTTGCAAAAAAAATACTATTCAATCAATTAAAAAAAAAAAAAATCCAGGATTGTGATTTTTTTTTCTAGAACTTTACTTATGAACTCATAAAAACTCAGGAAAATAGACAGGTATATGGGATGCCAGTTTAATCTGCACTCTGAATCGTCCAAGTGATAAGAAAACAGAATTTTCAGCCTGTCATGATCAGGTCTCATCTATTTTCTTTGGTAAGTCATTTTTCATCAAACAGTAATGAAAGATCTTTCATCTGAAGGTCAATGAAGAGCCAGCTTCCTGAGTCTGCGGAGAGCCTTAAAGGAAGCAGTCTAAAAGACACATGTGCTGCATCTAATTAACACAACTACACATTTCATACAGCTATTTCACATCCTTCTATCTGCATGCCAAGTCCCCCAGTTTCACCTACTGACAAATTCCACTGTGGAAAGTTGCCTTAAAAGCACCAAAACTTGCAACAGAGCAGTAATAAAAGGAATGGACAAGCATAACATGAATTTAAGCAAATATCCATAAAATAATATGTGTTTAAAAACTTAATTTCCAGGCTGTTGCACTGCAATGTCATAGAATTCAGGTTCTTTACCATGTAATTTACATCCTGTTCACGGAGTCTTGGAGAAAATTATATTATTCTGAAATACCACGGTTTAATTTCACTCTGCCTCTTGTGAGATATGAGGTGATAATACACTCTCTATCATTTTTCTCACCGTTACAATTCTTTTTATTTAAAAATTTTATAAAGTACGCATATTTTTAATTGATTTTACCTAATTCTTCTCTCTCCCAAGCAATTCTACCATGTAAAATGTTGCTTATGAAGTCAGATTCAATTTAGAAATCAAACCAGAGTAACCAGATTAAATAAAACTCAATTTCTTTAAAAAATGTTTACACTATATGTTCAGTTCTAAAACTAATCTAGCAAATTGCTTCCCGGCTGCAATTCTGTATTTCATAGCTCATATCTTTATGTTTAATATGACATGATGGCAGTTTATATCAGTACCCGTTAATGTAGCATCAGATATTATGATACTGTAAACTGGGGAACATAATGTCAGGAGATAGTTATTGCAGTTGAACTTCCGAACATGATACATATGAGATCTATTTAAGACGAGGGCATTTTGATTAGAAAAACCAGCTGCACCTAATCAAATTTAAAGTGGTGACAAGGAGAAGAATGTGACCTACGGATTCTGTCTGAAGAGCTCTCGGTCCGTGCAGGAGAGCTGGACACACTGCTGCTTCGATGAGAGGATGGATGGCTGCCAGGTCTTCGGCCCTCTTCAAGAGAAGGAGCAGGAGAAGGGCTGTCTGGAACACGTTCCTAGACCCCACAAAAAATAATGGCAAAAAAAAAGCAATGTTAAACTAAGTCTCGTTTCCAAACATCAGTACCCTAAACTGAATCTCCCTCGTAAATCATAACCTAGTCTTTCCTCTGTTGACGTGTCCAGGATTTGCAGAGCATTCTCAAAGGAAACTCAGCAGTTTTTGGACACTAGATCTTATGTTTTAGTATGCAAGTGAGCACTGCTCATCCTGTCAGGCTTTTAAACTACCTTCTGGACTACTTATAAAAATAAGGGGTTTGTTTTGCTTTTGTGTTTATTTTCCTCACTTTTATCAGCACACTGTTTGAAATATACATTTTGTTTACTAGCTTACAGACATTAGCCTTACAGCATAAGGAACTATGTACTTTTCTAAATAAATGAAGACCAGACACTGTTGTTTTAACTTATGTTGAATTTTTCTCCATATCTTAATTTCAAAGGGTCTTCTTGAGCAACAAGGTCTTATGGAACTGCTATACATCATAAAGAAAACATAAGCTCCCTACTGAACCTATACGAGTACTTATACATGGCTGATGCTACTGCCCATTTATAACAAACAGACATTGTAGCAAAAGTCTGTTTAATACCATGGAATACAAACCTGGAATGAACCACAGTTTTTAGAAGATTGTGGCTGCATCACACTGACCATATCACTACTTCAAAATTGGGCCAAGCACCCATTCATGTTTGTCTACACAGGGTGAAGCCTGGCATGGTATCTAGGAGGAGCTATGCTGCACTTCACAATATTCCTTGATTTTGAAAATTAAGAGCATGAGGACTGTGATAGCTTGAAGTGCACTTCTGCTGCGTGAGAACAGTCTGTATGTAGCAGATAGATATGCCTGACATTTACACAGATCTTTGACAGAAACAATAAACAAAGGGAGTTGAGTGCAAAATAGTCCTTTCTAGAAAATTCTCTATCTTTCCCTGCAGTTCCTTTTTCATTGCTAATAGCTTCCAAGACTCTATGTCATTGTTAAAATATGTGTGAATTTGATTGGTTTAGTCAAATAGTGATTAAAAAAAAAGTTCCTGTAAGGTAAATCTGTTGTAAGGACCAAAAATGTTAAACTGGAGTTTTTGGCTTTGGGTTGGTTTTGGTTTGGGTTTTTTTTGTTTGTTTGGCTGGTTGGGTTTTTTTTATAATTGGAATCCTGACTTCTAATGAAAAAAACCCCACCCAATCCAAGTTTAAACCAATAAATAAATCAACTGTATACATTTCTCTCACTAAAAGCTTTCAGTAATGAAATAAGACCATTAGTATGTGTCTAATAACATATATGAAAACTTGCTGCTGCAAATGCCTTTAAAGTTTTCCTGAAAAGAGGGAAACTTTCTACTAAATGTTTTATAAACTTGAGATTCTGATAGCAAAGGATTCAATGGGCCTATTGATTGAGTGGAAGAAGACCTTTCAGAGCAGTGTTTCAAGACATTTAAGTGGATTCCACTTTAATAGTCTCAGGTTTTTAAGTCAAAAACATTGATGAGGGTAGTTTAACTGCATCATAGCTCTAGGCTTATTATGACTTTGATTGTGTTTATATGTCCATGAACCGGGTATACAAGAGGAGGATTATAATGCAGATGTTTTCAGAATGTTGAAGATTTATTTCTTTAGATTTAGGAGGATTTAAGCATGCACAGCGTACAGATTTGGTATAAATTGGAACACGCTATATTTAATCATTCATTTAATATATAATTTCACTGTTTGGCATACAATGTATTGTTCTTTGTAGGGTTTCATTAAAATGAAATCCAGTGAGCACATAAGATTTGAATACAGAGCTGCAGAGTAAATTAATTTATTTAAACAGCTTAATTTGTTTATCCTATTTATTTATGTGCGCTTTTACAGCATGTATTATGAGATGGAGAGAGCAAAAGGAATGCACGGACAACAAAATATAATTACTGCACAAACAAAACAGATAATGAGTTTTATTCATATATAATGTGACATAGCAGACAAAGTCTATGAGAAGACTATATTTACTGGCTTCATCAATTCATTTGTAAAATACCCTTTAACCCCACCAAAACAAGCGATTGATCTATGCAGAAAAGGCAAGGAAATTAATTTAATACCTTACCTCATTTTTTATATCCTTGCTTCATATTTCCACAATCAATAATATAGTCTATAACAATTTTTTGTCTTTATCAAAACAAGCTGCAATAATAAATGGAAATGCTGCTAATAATAAATTGAAATACTCTGTAGCTCTAAAAAGTTGTGGTGATAAAATAACAGTGCTGGAATATAAATATAAACTGTCATCCTTACTAGAGATTTGGGTAGAAAAAATGGATTTTGTCTGTGGTAAGATATTAACTTTACATTTAGACTTCACTTTAAGATTTTTCAGAAAAGGAAATGTGCAAAAATGTGTTCAGTAATTACCTCATGATCAGAGCTATTTTGTAACTTCTGCTAAATGCCTCTTTTGTACAAGTCTACATGACACAGCAAAGCAACAGAATTTACAGTGTTACACTCCTGGCAATAGAAAACACTGAGGATACTGTCCAGTGTCCAGTATTTCTCCTGAAATAATGCCACTTCATTAAAGATATCTCTATAGAACTTGGTTTGGCTTCTACTGTAATTACGCTCATTGTCTCCTAAGAAGCAAATAAATAAATAAATAGAATCTGAGTGACTTTGCCTTGCTAAAATTGAGTATGTGGACAAAAAAGTGGAGGATTCACTTAGAAGTCAACACATCTGAATTTAAGTATCTAAATGCAGTTTTGACACACGAGCCAGAGATGAAACTTCAGACACCTGTATCTAGGATGCCACATGAAGGGGCCCACATTGCAGGTAAGCGTCTCCCATTTCTGTCAACTGAGTCAATGGAACCTCCTCCAAAACCCAGAGCTCAATTTAGCTGTTCACATTTGTGCCATTTCAGCCACTGAAGGGTTTTGAGATGTCCACACTAGGTTTGACAGACAGAACCTACAAAAGATCTGCTGCCTTTTGGAGTGGCAGCAGGATGCCAAAAACATTAGTCTTGATCTTTACTGCTGGATGAGCTGAACAGCTCACAGAACTCTATTGACAATATTTACTATAAAATAAGAAATACGGTACTATTTATTGCTTGTAAAACATAACCCCCACTACATACCTTTTTCTCCATTTTTTGCTTCCCTACTTGTTTCTACACGTACTCACAAGTAAAAAGTAGTGTGAACAATTTAGGCCATAAGTGGCTATTTAACATATGATCAACCAACTTTTCAAAATTGTTTAGACTCTCTGTTAGACTATACTAAAGAATGGACAACACACTCTTAAGGGCCAAATTTAGAGCATTTCTTGTCTTGGTGCTCTTTACAATTTGATCCAAATCAGGAATCTTAAGAATTTAAGAACCTGACATTTAACAACTCCTCCAAAAATGCTACTACGACATATGAAACTTTCAGTTTAGGGAGCTGCAATGCCCTTTCCAGTACTTTTACTCCACTGACATTACAAGTTACACGCCATCAATATCAAGCCTATTTCATAAATAACACAATTGTTTCATTGACACCAGGCTTTTTTTTTTTTTAAACTTGTAAAGAACAGGTAGAAGATTTGAATTGTCAGAGACTTTAACTTACGAGATTGATGTTGTCTCTAGAATTGGAAACCACTTCAATTTTGTTCCAGAATGCCACATATCACCCACAACCTAACACCGTCTCAGTGTCTCCAGAGAAACAAAAATGTCTTCATGTACTTATCAACATTTTTTCACATATTTCAGACAGCTCTTTGCACAGATAAAGACCACACTACGAGATCTCATTCAAAAACGTTCCTTTTAAGTAACTTCCTATTAAGATTTATCTTAATATATCAGTAATGGTATCCAGAAGACCATAAATACTTTCTTCCCTATATCATATAGGTCTTTTTCTCCTTACCAGGTCACAAAAGGTAGTTATTCAAGATGAAACTTCTGTTTATGCTTCCTTTCTTTCTACTCCAGCAGCACATTTTCATTGTTTGAAACGTGACTCATTACCAAAAGTCTTCCTCAAAAATATACCAAAATGTAAACTTGATGGAGTTCAGCTGTTGGTCTCTATATCACTATCCAACAGAAGACATTCTGGGTAATAAGTGCAGGATTAATCCTTCTGCTCATAAAACAACAGATAAGGAAGTGATATCTTCTGGGCGCTCAACTGCCTCAATCTTTCCATTTTCCATTTTATATTTATATATCTTTCTTTTATTCTTTGCCATTCTTGCTCCTTAGTGACAAAATTCCAGAATCTTTCTGGCAAAGTTCCAATATGCCTACTTCCAATAACCAACCGGTTATTCATGGCCAGCCTTCATCTCCTGAATACTTCTTTCCTATAAGTATTTTCAGTCTCAGCTTTTTCCTTTGTTCTAGTTTGCTTCTCCATAAGACTGATCTCTTGGGCTTAGTCATCCTTTAATTTTAGTCATGGACTGAGCTCAAGACATGGAACTAAGTATAGCTGTAGAGGTGTATCACCATTAAGACTATTCAGCTGTCTTGATGCTCTTCAGTGTTGCACAAACTCCTTTAAGGACGTTTGTGCTTGAAGTCATCGTAATGTTGAGGATAAAATCACTTATTTTCAGAGTCAGACTTTTCAATAGTTTAGATAAATTCATCCTGGGGAAAGGATATATGACACAAACTGTTTCATACACAGTTAATTAAAAAAATAAAATAAAAAAAAAGTAAAAGCTTTAAATTCAGAATAGTTTGTAATATTCTGACACTGGGAAGGCATCTAACTTCCTAACCTTTTTTGTATTAAAATTATAATCATCTCTTTCACGATGACCAAAACACAGACTTTTTACTCCAGTTCCTTACTGACCTGTTTTGGACTTGTATGAGAGTATTCCAGAAACTACTTTCTTGTAAAATGGCATATTTATTTTACAATACATTCGTTGAATGAGTGAAAGAAATTAATTACATGGGTA